CCGCACCATCGCGGGAGGTCGGGGCGCCCCACGCGGGGCGGAGCGCGCGCGCCTCCTGCCGAGACGGGACCGGCCCTCCCTGGTGACCTTGACCGGTGTCACTCGGCGGCCGCGGCGACAGGCGACAGGTTTGCATAAACTAGCGGTTCGGGACGGACCGGAAGTGTGGCTGGGATTCCAGGATTTGGGGACTTCATCCCTAAGTTATGCTGGGAGAATTCGCTAGGTAGTGAAAGCACCCTACACGCCCCCACCCCGCGAGTTGTGATCCCTGGAAGCTGTGAAAAGAGGAAGCATATCCTGTGGACGTCGCGCTTCCACGACAGTCCCATGAGACTTTAAATGTAACTGTGAATAGGGAGAGTATTTGTTACACATATGTAACAAATACTTAGATACTATGTAACAAATACTTTTTGCAAAAGGGGAGGGAACCCTGAAGTGGGGGAGCGAAAAAAAGAAAAGGAATGAAGCTGTGTTATGTAGGTGGACCACTCTCCACCTGGAATGTGACAGGTATGTGCAGCAAACAGGTACCGCCAAGAAGAAAAACAATTTAACAATTTCTCTGTGAATCTTTTTAATAGGTAGAGGATTTAAATGAGCAGCAGTTTCTAAAAATAAATGGAAAGGTCAAGAATAGGAAGCAGGAGCTGGGCATGATGGCGGCACACATGTGATCCCAGCACTTGGGAGGCTGAGGCAGGAGGATTGATTAAGTCGAGACCAGCCTGGATTCATAATGAGTTCAAGGCCACCCTGAACTACACAGCAAGAACCTGTCTCAAAAAGAAAAAGGGAGAAAGAAAGAAAGAAAGAAAGAAAGAAAGAAAGAAAGAAAGAAAGAAAGAAAAAAGAATAAGAGGCAGGATTCAACAATGTCAAAAAGCCCACTTGTGGTTCATGAATTTTTTGAAAGTATAGACACGTGGAGAAGCACACCCACTTCTTCAAGTACAGACAGGAACTATTTACGGAGTATGTGCTAGGCTCCCTTAGGACAACGCGGCAAAAGTTAGGGGATGCTGAAAGGCACAGGAAAGGGTTAGAAGAGGTAACAAGGGTGGTGAGACTCAGGCAGAATAAAGAAGGTGAGGCCTGACCAGACTATGAAAAGTGTCGCAAGGCTGTACATTGTGTAGATATATTTTCATTGCCAGATAATAACTACACACATATGGCAGTCAGGGTCACCTTTCAGGCCATGTGTGTACTGTGTTGTGAGCACATCGGGGGGAATGGGTGTATCTGGTTTTTTTTTTGTTTGTTTTTGTCTTTTTGAGACAGGGTCTCGCTGTGCAGTTCGGGTTAGCCTTGAGCTCAGTTTGTAGCCCAGGCTTGTCTCAAACTCACAGTGATCCTCCTGCCTCAGCCTCCCAAGTGCTGGGATTACAGG